TCAACTTTACTTTGAATAATTCCAAATTCACTGATAACTGTGCTAAAACGACTAAACCATACTCTTGGGGACTGTTTCAATCCATACAGTGATCGTCAAAGTTTACAAACCAAGTCAGACTCCCCTTGAGCAACAAATCCTGGTGGTTGTTCTATATAGACTTCTTCGTTGAGATCTCCATGTAAGAAGACATTCTTAATGTCTTGTTGATATAAAGGCCTAAGAAGGCATTCAACAATATATTGTTGAATGATGCTATTTATGATCGTTCTTGTGCATTGTTTACTTATTATGAGTGTGTAGAGTAGATTAGGGGTTGGGTAGTGGTGTTTATTGTTTTTGATACCTATTTAATACTTATTTAACACTAATCTTTTGTAGTGAGATGTTTTGTATGTTGGTGTTGGTGGGTTTGTGCACTACCTTATATACAGGTCATGTATGGGATTTTGGCAACCGAGTGAGCAAGAAGTCCACGGGTTATCACACCTCTAGAGTCGTCTCTCAACCGTCAATCTCCCTTCGACCACATCTCACGACATTCAGGTTCACTTACGAGAGTATGTAATGTTGAAGGTCTAGACTACTCGTGCTTATTGATGGGGATTGGTAGTGTCACGAGAGTGGAACAACCCCCCGTGTTCCAATTCGACCTAACATTTGACCACAAGAGTGGCGTGTTAGTATATCGAATTGGTGATTGGTAGTCTTGAACACGATGGTGAAGTTCTTTAACCCTAAATCCTTTGTTCTATGGCATCAGACCAATAAATACCCATTCCAATCCCTACCTTTTTATTTATAGTTTTTTTTTTTTTTTATCTCGTTGTTTTATATATATTTTCCATGCTTAGCCTGTCATCATATTTGATTATTTGTTGTTTAGCATCCATAAAATCTTTCATGCTTGTGCCTAGATTCTTCGTTGGCTATCCCAACCCCCAATCCTTGAGGAGGATCAAAAACAAATTTATTTTTGTTTATTTCGTAATTTGCTATACTGCATTGTTGATGAAGGATCATGGCCATCCAAATTCCACTTGAGAATATTTAATTGGATATTGAACTCAAAGTTGACATTTTGAAAAATGTGCTACAAAAAGATTTTTAAGTAAATATTCTGAGATATATTTAGCTTAATCGGTGCAAACAATGCTCTGATACTACTCGTTGGTCTCGAGCTAACTCAAAGCCTGGGGTTGAATAGATTTTGAACAACTCTTTGGAAATAAAATTGAGAAACTCTTTGGAAATAAAATTTTACAAGGCAGCAGAATGCTTTAGCTTGCCTTGTTTAGTTGTGTAGCTAATGGGGAAATAACCCACCATACATAACTGACCCTTGCCGACCAATCCCGACCCTAGTCGACCTGGATTATTAACACCAGAGATCAAAGTTAATGTGAGTAAAACTTATTTGAACTGCCCGACCTCATGTGAATTAGCCGACCCTACACTTTAGGAAGCAAGAGTCTTAGACATAAGTCATATAAATCGCGTCAAAAATATTTGCACACTTGACACTACCAACTTGGCAGCCTAACGGTCAAGGACCACGTGGGGAAAATGCCGGGGATTCGGCATGTAGCTTTCCCCACCTTTATAAATACCCCCATTAACATCAGTTAGGGGGGGGGGGTTCTTTTTTTTTTTTTTTTGGCGAATGAGGGAGGTGTACAAGAAGTTTATACATTTCCTGACCACTACACTTCAATTTACATTATCAATAGCATTTTGCGTTAAATAAATTGCTAGTGTGTGTTTTTTTAGTTCAGCAATAAGCAAATAAAAGACTAGGGATAGAGAGATTGAGTTGAATATTTTTATAGTGGTTCGGGAACTCTCTATTCCACTTTTCTCCTTGACACAAGGAGATTTCACTAGTATTTTGTTCAAATAAAGTGAAAGTAGCCTTTCACATTAGTTGCACACCAATCTAACTAAGGGTCCGTTTGGAAAGCAGGAAAATGACTTCTGGAAAATGTTTTCTGAAAAATGAATCATTTTCTAGAAAATATTTTTCTTTCCAGTGTTTGGTTGCATTCTGGAAAACTGTTTTTGTGTGTTTGGTTCATTTTCTGGAAAATGAGTAGAATTGTATAATTAAGCATTTTAATTATTTTATTTAGAATATTAAAACATGTATAATAATATATAATAATATAATATTAATTTTAAATATAATAAAAAATAGCTAAGTTTTTCACCAAAAAAAACTAATAATATATCAAAAATATTATGGTGGTGGTAGTGGTGTTATTCGTTATATAATAATAATAATAATAATAATAATAATAATAATAATAATAATAATAATAATAATAATAATAATAATAATAATAATAATAATAATAATAATAATAATAATAATAATAATAATTGGTGGTGGTATGACGGTGGTGGCAGTGGTGGTGGTGGTGGCGACGGCGGTGGTTGCGATGGTATGATCGTGGTGGTGGCGGCGGCGGCGGTGTGATGGTGGCGGTGGTGGTTGCGGTAGTATGGTGGTGGTGGCGGCGGCGGCGGTAGTGGTGTTGCTGTGATGGTGGTGGTAGTATAACAGTGGTGGCAGTGGTGTGTGGGGGGCGGTGGTTGCGGTGGTATGGTGGTGGTGGTGGTGGTGGCAACGGTGGTTGCGGTGGTGGCGGCGGCGGCGGTGTGATGGCGGTGGTGTGGTGGTGGTGGCGGTGGTTGCGGTGGTATGGTAGTGGTGGCGGTAGTTGCGGTGGTATGGTGGTGGTGGTGGTGGTGGCGACGGTGGTTGCGGTGGTATGGTGGTGGTGGCGGCGGCGGTGGTGGTGTGATGGCGGTGGTGGTGTCGGTGCTTGCGGTGGTATGGTGGTGATGGCGGCGGCGGTGGTATGGTGGTAGTGGTGGCAGCGATGGTGGTTGCGGTGGTATGGTGGTGGCGGCAGCGGCGACGGTAGTGGTTGCGGTGGTATGGTGGTGGTGGCGGCGGCGGTATGGTGGTGGTGGTGGTGGTGGCGACAGCGGTGGTATGGTGGTAGTGGTGGCGGTGACGGTGGTTGCGGTGGTATGGTGGTGGTGGTGGTGGTGGCGGCGGCGGCGGTGGTGGTGTGGTGGCGGTGGTGTGGTGGTGGTGGTGGCGGCGACGATGGTTGCGCTGGTATGGTGGCAGTGGTGGTATGGTGTTAGTGGTGGTGTGATGGTGGCGGTGGTATAGTGGTGGTGGCGGTGGTATAGTGGTGGTGGCGGCGGCAGTAGTGGTGGTGATGGTGGTATGGTGTTGATGATGTTGGTGGTGGTGTGATGTTGGTGTAAAAGTTGGAAAATGACTTCCCCAAAAAAATGGGAAGTCAATTTTTCCCAAAGTCAACGGAAATCCGGAAAATGATTTACGTTTGACTTGATTTTCCAAACACATCCAAACAATGAAAACATAGAAAATGATTTCCAGAACTCATTTTCCAGGTTTCCAAACACACCATAAGTTACTTGTAAAAACTCTTTTACATAAAACATTTGAATGACTTTTAGTGTTTCACTAAGATAGATGCATGTTATTCAATTTACTACGTGCCTTTGTCGTCAAGGGTCATCCACAAAGCCATCTTGAGAGAAGTTTTACAATCCCTAAAACATGTAGTCTTAAAAGGCTGGGTTAGACATAATCAGAATGATTTCTTGAAGCATTTGAGAGCCTATGAATGACTTTTAATGCTTTCAATTCTCAGGTCACTTAAGAGCATCCATAATAGTAGAGATATTTTGTGATTTTTGTAAGTGTGATGAGGAGATGAAAGAAAAAAGAAAAAAAATAAAACAAAACAAACAAACAAACAAAGAAAGAAAGAAATAAATAAATAAATAAATAAATAAATATATATATATATATATATATATATATATATATATATATATATATATATATATATATATATATGATGGATTTAATTAACCCGGGGTGGACACGAATCAATAAATCCGGATAAGAACGTAATATAAATAATATAGAACGATATAGCAAAATGCCGTGAGACCGTATATTATATTAATTGCCGTAGGAATTGGCTATTACAAAGATTCGGTAAGACAAAGTGTGTAATAAGTGTAGAATGTAGATAGAATGCCCCTTGTTAGGACAAGGAGGGGGGTTTTTATACAAGCTAAACCCCCCAACCGCCTCCTCCTAAATCGGGGGGTGGTTAGATCTCAACTATGACTGGGCCCGGGTGGACCGGGTCGGGTCGGGTCCCGAGCTCGGGTAGGACCGAGTTCCCCGACTCGAGCCCCCACGGAGGTCAGGTCGGGTCGGGGCACCTCCATGGTGCCATAGGTCTGGTGCTTTTGGGCTCCAACGTGGTGCTCCGGGTCCGCATTGCTCTTGGCTCCAATGTGGTGCCCCGGGTCCGCGTTGCTCTTGGGCTCCACCTTAGTGCTCCGGATCCGCGTTGCTAGCCCGGGTCGGGTCGTGGGTATCATATATCCATCAATATATATATATATATATATATATATATATATATATATATATATATATATATATATATAAGGGTCTGTCAGGTGACACGCCTGATGCGCCATCGTGCGCGTTCTTCTCTGATATTTCTCTTTCCTTGCGAAGAGAAATATCTCAATGCTTACAGGAAGTTTGTTTTTCCTCTCTCTCCACATTATTACTCCTCCACCTCATCTCACTTTTCTTAAAATTTGTGAAATAACTTGTGACCATTCATTGGGAAGTGAAAAGTCTCCTAGCATGACCAATCATAAGGATGTGAAAACTTTCCTATATAGAATGACCATTTATATGGATATGAAAAGTCTCCTAACATGTATATATATAGGGTTGTGTGTTCCCTTTCAAGCTATCGAATTTTTCAGAAACCTTTTCCTAACCTTTGTTCAATTATAAAATTAAAGTCTGCCCAACTTACACATAAATTCCATATTGATGTAAGCAAATATGTGATCTTGTATTGCAATTATTGAAACAAATAATTTGAAATATGATAATTTGGGAATAAATTTTTTGGTACCTTGGGAAGTGGCAGATCACTACTACGTTTGTTGTAGTCCTCCTGGAGGTGTCGAAGGTCTTCTTTGTGGTCTTCGCTAAGGGTTTTCACTTCATTGTTAATGGACTGGATCTCACTCGCAACATTATTGAGCTTTCCACAAACCCGAATCTTATCAAAAGATTTTGCCAATCCATGCTTCTTCTCCTGTGCAAAGTAGTTGCGAACCGCATCCCTGGCTTCTTGCACATGTGTTTCGAATTTTTTTACTATTACTCTCAAAACACGGTGTTCATTGGCCAGTGGGCTCTTGCAAGCTACCAGCAAGCTCCCAGTAAACGTTTTGATTTGAGAGGTCATCTCCTCTATCTCAGACTTCATAATGTCAGAAACCAGGTGGACATTGTCTCCTACCATATCCTCTAGCTTGTTTACCGCGTGCTCTACTTTTTTAATCACTTTGTCAAAGTCTATAGGTCTCTCTATCTGTGAAGAAATACAAAATCGAAAGTGATACAGCTAGTGCGAACATGCTTGCGTGTATATATATATATATATATATAGGGAAGGGATCAGGTGCACGGGGAGGTCTTCCCGTATGGTCAAACGCACTTAAGCATTAAACTGACGCACTCTAAATACATATCATACGCACATTAAAGCACACAACAAAGCACCTTCAGAACACAAATTCATGCACATACACAAAACTCACACATTTAAGCATTAAACTGACGCACTTTAAGCAGGGACTGACCTACAGTGGGGACAGTGGGGACATCTGCCCCCTCATCCCACCCCCAGCCCATATATAAGCATTGTGTATATATATGTATATATAGTATATAATTAAGTATAAGTACAAGGAAATTGATAATTATTCTGAAAATTTCGGACGTTTTCTAGGAAAAGATGTGATAGATCAGATGGCAAGGCACGCGCCTACTCCTAACTCTAAGCATGGTCAAGGGTTGTGTTTTTACTGCTTTTCTGCCTATTCCTTCAATACAGATACATTTTTTTTAAATAATTTTTTAAATATTAATTAATGGTTATATTTTCACACACTATTTATGACTTTTTAACCTTTTATTAATAATAATGAGATGTGTAATTTATAATGTGTTTTGTATTCGAATTATTTTATCAAATTAATTATGTTTCATATTTCGTTATCAATATTTTTATAATATTTGGATGTGTTTTATTTTTTACCCATATCTAACAATATTTATGACTAGATTTCTTAAGTGTTTCATTTTTTTTTTGTCAAACTATCTATTTTGTTTTAATGTTTCGCCCCCACTGGAAAAAAATTATGGATCCGCCACTGACCTTAAGCACAAAATTCACGCACCTTAAGCACAAAATTCATGCACCTTAATTTTCAACCACTACTTACATTAAGAACACAAATCTAACACACATTAAACACAAAACTCATGCACCTTAAAGTTTCAACAATAACTCATATTAAGTACACACCCAGGCATATTAAGCACAAAACTCACTCACATTAAGCAAAAAACTCAGAACACACTCACGCACATTAAACACAAACCTCACGCACCTTAAGTACAAGATTCACGCACATTAAATACAAAACTCACGCACATTAATCACCAGCACGGGAAGCATTCAACCGCACCTGAACCTTTCTATATATATATATATATATATATATATATATATATATATATATATATATATATATATATATATACTCAAATGCGTCGGTGTGGCCGCTTGAAAAATGCACCAATAGTGTTAAGAAAATGCACAAATACATTTAAAAAATGCACAACTCACCCAAAATAATGCACCATAACTCCTCACACCTAATTATGCATTTTTGAACACTATGTGATGCTTTTATACATACCTAATGGTGCATTTTTGGTGATGCATACCTAATTGTGCATATATTTGTGCATTATTTGGGAAAATCTAGAAAACAAGAAAAAAGCTATTTTCTAAATGTTTTGTTAGATTGGAAATATAGAAAAATAATTTTCCAAATAGAAAGTGAAAAACAATGCAAAACAAATACAATTTTCTCTTTTCTGTTTTTTCCAGAAAAATGAAAAAAAAAATAAAAAATTATAGAAACCAAACGTGCCAAGGGAAATTTCTACACATTCTATTTTTTCAACAAAATTGTTCCTCCCAAACACGCACATTCCTTGAAATTACATTTTCAAGAAATATAGATCAGAGATTCTCATACTTCTTAGATATTAAAAACATCACGTACACTACACTTTTTCTTTACGTGGATTTAAGTTTAATTTTCTTCTCCTTACCAAAATTGTTTTTTTTTTTTTAAAAATAAATATATTAATTCAATTAACTGAATATGATCATGTTTTGTGATTGCTAAAACAAATTTGAAATATGATAATTTGACAATAATTTTTGTGGTACCTGGAGAGTTAGCAGAACATTGTTTCGGTTGATGGTGGGGGAGTGACGGTCAATTTCGTGTTGTTGGCAAATCATCATAGTAACCTTTGATCTAACAGAGTGGATCTTACTTGCAAAAGATTTGACCTTTCTTCTATAGGGTTCCAAAAACTTTGTGAGGGTTTTGTCTTCATAGTACACCACCATATGCCAGTACTTGTGAGCCACACCCTTAGCTTCATTCACAATAGTTTGGAAGGTTTTCACCATCCAAACATCGACAGATGCAATTGGGTTCGTGTAAGTTTCCTGAAGCCTGGCATTAATCATTTGGATATTGAAGCTCACATCCTTTAACTTCAAATATAAGCTAGGAGGCCCACCACCCCACAGACTAGCCCACTCTACATATCGAACCATACTGTTTACCGCTTGCTCGATTAGTGTGTCCGTGTATGCCGTCAATGGCCCCTTCTCCTGAAGAATTAAGGAAAGCATTTGATATCTGAGAGATGCAAATTTGGAAACCAATTAAAGAATAGTAGTATATGTTATTATTTAATAATAATAAAAAGTTTAATACTTATTATGTTTTACTAGTTTACATAGCATTGCACGAATGAGTTAATGTCCAGTGTTTATAATTAATTAAATATTTAATTAAAAGTGAGTTAATGTCCCATGTTTATAATTAAATAAATATTTGAAAGTATATCAATGTAAGATTATATATGACAAGTTCATACATAAGTAATTTAATGTCGAATTTGTTTATTTAAATATATAACTCATAGTATATAAATACAGTATATTATAGGAGATTCATTATAATTGTTACTAAACTTTTTTTAAATAGTAACCAAGTATTTTTGTTGCAAAGGGTTCTAATATATTTAATTTAATGAATTGCATATATATACAAGATTAATGAATAAATCAACGATAACAGTCATTTAGGTATTTTGCTCAGTTTTCATTTAGTTCAACCATTATTGTTGAATAAATTATTATGGATAAAGAAATTTCTAATTTAAGGAATTTAAATATAGTAAAAATTTTAATTATAATGTAACCCAAATATATTGGACGATTGGTAAATATGATGCAATCCAAAGATCAAAATGCTAAAGAAAGTATTTGGTTATTCAACATTTTGAAGAAACAACTTGTTCCAAACCACTGGAAATACAAACATTGCAATTTACAATATTTTTACTTAGCGTTTTTAGAATGATTTTTACTTAGCGTTTTTAGAATAACAAGAGCCAGTTTCGTTGGCTCACAGCTTGCCCATCAATGGATGGGCAAGCTTAATTTCTTTAAATTGGAGCCTTAAGGCTCCTTTTATAGGAGTTTCAAGGCTCCCATGCCAATTTTTCCATCGATGTGAGAAAAGTGGCAAAACTAAAGGGAGCCGAACTAACAGGAATTAACAGAGAATATAATATTTAACTGAAAAGTTAACAGATAATCATATAATTGGATAAATTAGAAAATCTCAAGGAAAAATTAAAATCTAATCAATCTGAGTCATTCATTTGATTAAAAATTTGATCATCTAGCCATTATAGATCTAATTCTCTTTGGCTCTTATTAGTATATATAATAGATATATAACATGGAGAAGTCAATTTCTATGTAGTGTAATAGCACGTTTATTATTATCCTAATTTGGTGATCACAAGATTAAACCTTAGTAATCTTTAAACTTTATTTTTAGTTAGTAAATTTTGACCAAACAAAGTTTATAATTTATCAATAACTTAAAAGAATTATAAACTTTAAATAAAATCTATAAAACAAAATCTAAATGTTAATTAATTGGTTTCCAAATTAACTTTTGACCAAACAAAGTTTATAGTTTATGTTTTCTAAAAAAAAAATTTAGTTTATTAATAACTTAAAAAATTATAAACTTTAAATAAATCTATAAACAAAGTCTAAATATTAATTAATTGGTTTCCAAATTGAGTTTATTTTAAGTTGGTAAATTTTAACAAAACAAAGCTTATAACTTATTAATAACTTCAAAAAATATTATAAACTTTAAAATAAAATCTATCAAACAAAGTCTAAATGTTAATTAATTGGTTTCCAAATTGAAGTTATTTTAAGTGGTAAATTTTGACGAAACAAAGTTTATAGCTTATTAATAACTTTAAAAAAAATTCTACATTTATCTAAATGTTAATTAATTGGTTTCCAAACTAAAGATTATTTAATGAAAGATTTAATTGTTTTGAGTACTACTAAGATTTTTTCTCCAATAGATCGATAACCAATTGGAAACTTAATATTACATCTAACAATAGGACTAATTGTAGCAAGTCAATTATTATATTGAGCAATTATTAATTTAGTATAAATAACCATCCTATAATATTAAGCAGATTCTATGAAATTACGAGTGTCTAAATGGGGCGTTTGGTTGGAAGGAAGGAATTAAGAGGGAAAGAAATTGTAATTCGGTGGGAAAAGAATAAGGTGGGAATAAAGTAAGAATTACAATTACATTGTTTGGTAGGGGAATAATGAAAATGGAAAAAGTGATATAAAGACTAAAATACCCTTTGTGTAATAATTTTAATAATAACATTCAAGGACAAATATGTCTTTTCCTTCCCTTTCCCTTTGGATGAATTCATTGAATTGCAATTCATAGGGGGGACCTATGAATTGCAATTCAATGAATTTACAGCACGTTTGGTTCACGGAATGAATTTTGGGGTAATAGGAATGCTATTCCATAAGGAATGGAATATGCAAGGAATAGAATAGGAATTGTATTCTATTGTTTGGTTCGCAGAATGAATAGACTTTAGGAATTATATTACAGTGTTTGGTTGATTTAAGGAATAGAAATGAAATATGTTTTAAAAGACATAAATACCCTTATAAAAATATGTGATGGTGGCGGTGGTGGTGGTGGCGATGGTGGTGGCGGTGGTGATGGTGGTGGTAGAGGTGGTGGTGGTGGTGCTAGGGTGGTAGTGGTGGTGGTGGCGGTGGCAGTGGTGGGGGCGATGGTGGTGGTGGTGGTGGTGACGGTGACGGCTAACGGTGACGGTTGTGGCAGTGGTGGTGGGGGCGGCGACAGTTGTGGCGGTGGTGCTGCTGGGTGGTGGTTCTGGTGCCAGCGGCGGCGGCGATGGTGGTGGCGGCGGTGGTGATGGTGGTGGCGGTGGCAGTGGTGGTGCTGGGGTGGTAATGGTGGTGGTGGTGGCGGTGGCAGTGGTGGGGGCGGCGGCGGCGGTGGTGGGGGCAGCGACGGTTGACGGTGACAGTTGTGGCAGTGGTGGTGGGGGCGGCGACGGTTGTGGCGGTAGTGGTGGTGGCGGCGGCGGTGGTGCTGCTGGGTGGTGGTTCTGGTGGCGATGGCGGTGGTGGCGGCGGTGACGGCGATGGTGGTGGCGGTGGCGGCGATGGTGGCGGCGATGGTGGTGGCAGTGGTGGCGATGGTGATGGTGGGGGCGGCGGTGGTGGTTGGGGCGGCGGCGACGGTTGTGGTGATGGTGGCGGTGGCGGCGGCGGCGACGGCGGTGATTGTGGTGGTGAAATAGGATAAATTTATATATATGATAAAAAAATTAGGTTAAAGAAAGGGATAAAAAATGAAATATATTCTAAAATCTATTCCTGAGCGTTCAGTAATAGGCTAATACCAGGGGGGGCCCCTAGTAATAGCTATTACCTTGTTTGAGGTAATAGGCTATTACCAGGAATATTATTCCTGGTAATAGAAATGGTACCAAACAAAGGAATAGGCCTATTACTGGGAATGCTATGCCATTCCCGGCCTATTCCGTGAACCAAACGGGCCATTAGGGAATTGCAATTTCATGGAATTGCAATTCCCTCTAACCAAACAATGTAGTTTATCATTTCATTGAATTGCAATTCAATTCCAACGTAATTCATGCCAACCAAACACCCCCTAAAGATTGAGGGAAATTAATTAGTCAAACAAAAATCTATTAATGGTACGTACAATAAACTATTTCTTACACAGTACTATACAATAACACTCGAGGCTACCAAAAAAAAAAAAAAATACACAGTAAAATAACAAGGGTCACATTTGTGTGAAGATCCGTGAGATGGGTCGGGTCGGGTTAATATGCAAATATAATACTTATACTAGTAAATGTAATACTAAATCAAGAATGAAATGTTTGTTACTTATAATGGAAAACATAATACTTTTAAGGACAAATATAATACTTTTTATATTTTGATGTAAAAGTATTACTTTTTTAATCAAAAGTATTATTGTCCCTTATATAAGTAATGTTGCACTTATAAAGACAAATATAATTTTTTGATGAAAAATGTACTATTTTTACATCAAAATGTAAAAGTACTCCATTTTTTGTATTTATTTTTCCATATAAGTAATAAACATTTTATTTGTGATTTAGTATTATATTTGCTGGTATAAGTATTACATTTCAACTTGACTCGACCCGTCTCATGAATCACACAAGTTTTCGTGGTAAGTAACTAGTTGGCAGCTGGAGTATATTTTATCCCTAATCATTTTATTATATTGACTATTATTTTAATATAAAAAATATATGGTTGAGCGGCATAGCTGTAGTTTCTCAAATGAGAGATGAGGGCATTGACTTTTTATGTTTATGAACAGATACTATATTATAATAGAATCAGTAGTATTCAAAAAAAAAATATATATATATATATATATATATATATATATATATATATATATATATATAATTTTTTTTTTCTCTCCTAAAGTTTTCTTTCTAGTTATTGGATGTCCATGAATTAACTTATAAAGAAAGATTAAAGTATTTAATGAAAGAGTGTTAATTCACTAAAGCAATAAATGGGGAAGCTAAGATAGATAATTAGTTACCATTTTAGGGGGTATGAGGAGCTGGAATCCACAGTTGTTGAGCTGCTTTTCTTTGACCTCTTTTGCAGACTGAACAGCACTTTCACTCATGTGAAACAATTCCATCACCTCAAGGGTATGAACATAAGCAAAAGCTTCTGGAATTTTTTGTAGAGAGCTACAATTTCGAAGGATTAGACTTCGTAAAGCTGGGAAGCTATTCTTTGTGGCCAACTTCCAAATTCTTAGGTTCGTCTTTCCAATGCGCAAATATTGAAGGTGTTTGAAAACAACATGATTGCTTAGTTCCCAATTCTCGCCCTTGAATGCATAGTCATCCAACTTCAGCACCTCAAGCTTCTCCAACGACCCCAATACTTCCATGTCTTTCCACTCAAACAATGTGCCAAAGAAGCTCAACTTTTTTAGCCTACGTGCATCTAGGATCCCGCTTGGGAACGTTAACACTTTATCATATTGGCCGTAGAGCTTCAAGTTTTCTAGGGATTCTAGACTTCCGAATGAGGAACAACTTGGTTCCTTTAGAAATCCTGATAAATCCCCACGAACACCTAATTTTTTGAGGTTAGGGGTCTTCTGAAAGATCTCTTTTATGCAACTTGTTGGAGATATTGTAGAAAGTGTGCGGATGTCGTTTCCTCCAGAGTTAGTTGTGCTTCTTTTTGGAGGAACGGGTAATTGCAGAGATGTATTGGTGTGTACATGCTTTAACTTTTTCATGCTCCATATGCCTTCATCAATTTGTAGTGTCCATGATGTGGTTTCGATAACTAAAGTCTCCAATGCACGAAGATTTTTGAATAATTTGGGGAGGGAATCGAAATTGCTTTTGATGGCAAGATACCTAAGGAGATGTAAGTTATAAAGCTCATTCGGTAGCAACTTAAACTTGATGAAGAATTCAATGTTCAACACCCTAAGAAGCGGAAAGGTGTTTAGGATGGTTGCTAATTCCTCTTTTGTAAAATAAAATGTCTCACTGTTTTGTGAGGGAAACAACAACAAAGAACGGATATGTTTGCCAAATGGACATAAACTCCCCTTTTGGTTGTAGGATTTGAGGACATCAAAATTGTTATTAGTATAGGAGTGGAAACAAAGGCGACGAGAAGAAATATTCTCATGAGGAGTTGAAGAAATATTCTCATCTAATCTTTGTGTCTCATCCATTACATGAAACAAATTTATCCTTGCACCTTCACTTTTGCAAAACTCATGCAATGTGTCGGGTAGACAACAAGTTTTTATTTGTCCATTTATTCTTCGTTCTACCACCATCACAAGATTTCTATCTACCAGATCATTCAAATATTTTTGAGCTTCAACTTCTGCATCTAAAGCATAACCCTGCTCATCTATTTTTGGAATGAATTCTTCAGCAATCCACAAATGAATCAACTTACAAACAGCAATCTCATGTCCCATGGGAAAACATCCAAAATATAGAAAACAATTTTTCAACTTCTCATCAGGCAAATCATTGTAAGTTTTTTTTACTCTGTAACGATAGATTTGGCCTTCTCGATTAATTTCTAAAAATGGATTTTCAGCAACCCGTTGCCAGTCAGCAATATTCCTATGTTGACGTAGCAAACCACCTACCGCTACTAGAGCTAGTGGTAATCCGTTGCATTTATTTGCTATTTCTTTCCCCAGATTTTTTAATGATTTCTCATTGCATTTCGGTGTACCAAAAGCACTATCTTCCAATAGCGACCAACCTTCCTCATTGCTTAACTTTCCTAAATTATGAGATTTCCAGTTAGAATCAACTACATTGCCATATGGAGAGGTCACCAGCACCCTACTTCCTTTCAAATTTGCAGGGAATGCAACTTTAAAAGAATCCCAATCTTCTTTTTTTTTGTACATCATCCAATACAACAAAGTACTTTTCATCCTTTAGAAGTTCACATATTTCACGTGCCAACCCTTCTTCAGTCATCATGCTAATGTCTTCTCTACACCTCCTAATTTGATAGATGATGTCAATGAATTTCTGTTTTCTATCAAAACCTTGTGAAACATTAACCCAAATGTACTTGTTGAAAATTTCAGGAATGCCTTTTTGGTCTTCGAAAATCATTGAGGCAAATATGGTTTTTCCAGATCCAGTTATTCCTACAATTGGGATGATAATAAAATTATCCTTTGCATCTATGAAACGGTCTTTTATGATTTTCAAATCCTTTCCAAATCCAAATATGTTTTTCTCTACTGTTGGACGAACCTAAATAATTGAAGAAAAATCATTAAAAATCTATTCTAACCAGGTGCTAATTAAGGTGATAAATACAAATATTCAAGTTCAATTCCAAATCATTATTAGTATTGTGTACTCTTAAAATGCTCAAATTAAACCATCTTCTAATTTGAACAAGTTATAATTTTACTTTAGAACCTATACATATGCAATATTCAATCTTAACCTATCCATCAATTCAAGGATTTGTTGAAAAAATAGTATTAAAATGACATTTTAAGTGGCTATTTTGTGGTAAAATTATCATTGGGGTCCACTTCCGATTTGGGTCGGGTCAAAGTGGATTCGGGTTCTTTGTAGTGAGACGAAGAGATTGATATATTGTACGCTCAAAACGGATAATGGGTGAATGAGATATTGATTCTCAAAGTAGACCCATTGAGTTGGGAAAATGAAGGGCAAAAGTGAGCTTTTGTCCCACATTGGTTTGGGAAGAGGATTTCTCCCACTATTTATACAATAGTTCTTTAAAGTCTTATTGAATTGTATAACATAGAGGCTTTCTCTTGCAGCAAAGAGGGTGTAAATCAAATCCCAAATTGAGATAAAAAAAAAAGGCTAAAACTGAGATACAAAAGGCTTGAATGGCGGGCTAAGTTATGCCACCTTTTGGAATCATTTATTCATCCGTTACGGAATTAATTGTATATTAATTCCAATTTTGAATTTAATCTCACTTAGTGGCCAGGTGTTACAAGGCAAATTTTAAAGGCCATAATGAATGCTATGGCTTGATTCAAGCTTGCTTTGCGGGCTAAGTTATGCCACCTTTTGGTATCATTTATTCATCCGTTACGGAATTAATTGTATATTAATTCCAATTTTGAATTTAATCTCACTTAGTGGCCAGGTGTTACAAGGCAAATTTTAAAGGCCATAATGAATTCTATTAACTCTTTCATCCCTATATAAGAAGGGAGTTAAGCAGAAGAAATTTGTGAACAAGAACACAACAAGAGAGATAACACTTGCACGTTTTTCCAGCTTCAAAACTCTGCTTCTACTCCTTTCTTTGCCTAGATGTGTTCAAGGCTTTGCTCTAGTTTGCCGGGTTCGTTCGTTTGGGTGCTCAAACGTCGGACCGTAGCACGTTTTATCCTGGGAAACCTAGGTCGCAATGCTCCTAGCACTTTTGGGAGGTTGCAAATAAGGTTTTAAGGAAAGAGTGATCTCTTGACTCGCGCTAAAAACCCTATACCCATACACGAGCCATCTTTTCCTTCTTTCGGTTTTGGATTATGCTTCTAAGCAAAAAACCTTCTCTCTATTTGATTTAGTTGTGGATTGGAATTATAATCTAAGGATTATACGTTCCAATTTTGGTTGATATATATTTGTATATCTTTTCCGTAGATATATATGTATATATAACCGTGGGGATCTGATTTATATATGTGTGTGTGTGTGTGTGTGTGTGTGTGTGTGTGTGTGTGTGTGTGTGTGTGTGTATATATATATATATATATATATATATATATATATATATATATATATATCAGATAATATTTTATATACTTGTGTGTGTATATATAAATATTATTTTGCGATATTAAATCGATTTTGGTTCATTATCACCAACAATCTTAAAACCTTATAATTTTGATAATGAACAAGTCGATGGATTCCAAAAGTGTTGGATCCGTGAATGTTGCCGGAGGTGCACATTCAAATGGTCGGAACGGCAACGATGTTGCACATTCCTTTATGCTGGTTGACAGCAGCAATGTTGGAAATGATATTTCCGTGGGAGTTGCAAAAACACACGATGGTGCTTCAGAGAACGTTGGTTCACGAACCGGTAGACCAGTGGCTAATGGCACACAATTGGTACCTATTGTGTTGCCTACTGGATCGGCTGAAAGCCATGAAGGATCCTATGATGGTGTGATCACTACATGGTCTGAGGACTATTGTAGTGTGACCAACGTCTTCAACGATAATCAAAGGAAAGGCAAACGAAAGTTTAGGCCTGAAGATGATTATGAGGAAGAAGTGAACAGCCACTATGAAGCGAACCGTCATCCTGGTGAAAAGGTAGAGGACAATTTCGCTATGTTTAAAACATGTGGATGGTTGGACGAGTGAGGTCATAACCGAGGTACCCCCGATGTGCGCTATGGACCACCCATCGTGGAGTGGACGGTTGAAAAAATGGAACAAGGCACACCGGTTTGAAAGATTACTACGAGATAGGAATACAGAAATTGGTTTCCAATGTAATTTCCTATTTATTTATTTTGAATAAATATTGTAATATCCTTGTAATATTTTTATTTGAATAAAAATATAAATGTTACATTGAGTTGTTGAATTTTGGTACATACGAATTATTTGTTAGAATAATGTCAAATGTATGGAAAGATTCAATATGGATGCCTAGTGCATCACGTAGCATTATGTGGAAAATGCTAAAATAGCTTAACTGCCGGAACGAAATGTAACAAGCGTGTTACATGTTTGAAATCTCGTAAGGACTTCGGTTCTAGTTCATGTTGAACGATATAGATTTCAAAGTAGGATCAATTTGTCAAAAAAATTTGGGATAGCTATATAATCATGAGCGTCACAGCTCAATGGTTGAATATTTTAAATAATATTCTGAGTACGATTATATAAGCTTGATTCAACTAGTCAGAAATTTGGTTGACTTGTTCTTGTTAATTGTGTTATAATTAACTTGATCAAAAATCCAAATTATACTACTATGAAATATAATTTGAGACAAATTGTTGGGACGTCAAATTAAGCTTGAGCTTAACAAAAAATGCTAATTAAATTTAGCATTGTTGAAGTGCTAATTGGAGTGCTTAATAGCACTGGACGTCCAAAATGTCGAATTAGCACTATGCAAAAAGCTAATTAAATTTAGCATTGTAAAAGTGCTATGTGATTAGCACGAAAGGAGGTTTGGTTAATTGTGTAATTAACTAATAATCATAGTGCTAAGTAGCACTGGAATTATAAATTAAGCCACGAACGGTTGTTGTGTGTTTATAATTTAAAGCAATGGAAGATTGCTTTAAAATCAGCGCTTTAAGTTGCAGCAATGATTCGTGCTTTATGTAGCATGTTTCGTGCTTCATTACTAAGCACAGATTCGTGCTTCAATTTCGGAAGCACTAGTTCGGGTTTGTGGCATTTCGGTCAAAACCGAATGGATTCGTAAGTGCTGATCTATTCGCACCTACGAGATGTGCTAACATGTAGTACATGTTTTTTCTTCATAAGAATAAAAGAGAAAACCAAATTAATCGCGGATTAATGCGGTTACGAACGATCGATATAGTGAATATGAAACACATATTGGTGATTTCTACGCAAGCCTTGGTATCGTACTCGAGCGTACGACATAGTATTCACCTCAATCGAACATAAATATCAAGACGTTGATAAGTTCAGGTCTACCTCAAGGTATGTGGGGTAAGACAATACTTTGGACAAGTAAGTACCTTTTAAATAAGGTTACCCGCATGAAATTCTTACGAATTATAGGTACGTAGGAAGTTTTCCTACTAATGCCTGAAATGTGGGGGTGTCTTGCCAAAGGCGTATATTGGGTTCTTAGTACACGAGTCCTATAGTTTAGATGTACATAAGAACACAATAAATTGAATCAAGAAATTCATCGTTCTTTGAAGATGTATTTCTGTGAAGGTTCAATATCGGACCTAGTACGTTGAAATGAACTTTCGACGTAGCTATGGTTGAAGGGTATGAAAGAGAACCCGAGCTCGAAGCTAGACGTAGCAAGAGATCTAGGATTGGAACAATCCTTTGGTCTAGATTTCTAACAAACATACTAGAATGTGATACACATATTCTAACTTGTTTACTCGAAAATGAACCGGATTTTCTGACATGGTTGTTAGAAAACAAGCCTCGAATGTATGTAAAAGTATTCTACGGATGGACCAACACGAAAGAGGCTACTAAAAGTGAAGTAGATTCTATCTTACAGAATCATACTCGGAGCTGGTCGTTCTTCCTCCGGGTTGTAAAATCTTTGGAAGATAAAACCGGTTGGTTATATTGAAGTAAAATGGTCATGCTTGTAATTGTAAATTACATGCAACACAAGTGTCACGGTTACTTCGATATCTATTCTCTTGTGATGACATAAATCCATTAGGATGACACTCGCCATAGCCGTGTAGCGAGACTTGGAAGTTCATCGAAATGGATGTATTGCTTTCTTAATAAACATGGAACAACCTGAGTGTTTTGTGGTTCCGCACTAGGGAAAGAAAGTGTGTAATTGGTGAGATCATTGTATTGTTCAAAACAATTGCCTTAGTGTTTGGCATGTGAGGTTTTGATCATGCAGTGATGACCAACGAGTTTAGTATAAACGAAAGTGAAAGTGTGTCTACGTATTGCGTACGATTGACAGAGATATCACTGTTTGTTTATACACGATGAACTCATCGTGGATAGTAATGATCAATTCTACCAGAAACATGTTAAATTGGAGATTTGACATGAGGTGTGAGTTTGACAGATTTAATCTTCGAGATTAAATCGTGAGAAAACCGTATAGTCTCGTGTTAGGCCAATCTCACTGAGTTGATTGAATCATTGCAAGGATGATAATCAACTGGTTTGGACACTATTAAATACTAACGTACAACTAGCCAATAATCACGAAGATTGTACGTCTCACGGAGAATACATTCAGATTATTGGTGATTTAATTGTATCAAATGGGTTGTACTAGGCCAGATCTTGCCTTTACAGTTAACGAACTCGATAGACATACGAGTAACCCTAGTGTTACACACTAAAAGGCAATAGTGGAAGTTATTAGATACTTAAGGTATGCTTGTGACTTTGGACTGCACTACGTGGGATATCTAGGTGTATTTGGAAAGTATAGCACAGATATCAAAGGACGCTAAGTCCATTAAAGGCTACGTGTTTACGTAGGCCAATGCAGTTGGTTGTATGAAAATTCTCGTAACGATTTGTGATAGCTAAGATCCATGACGGGATCTAAGCTGAGAGCCTTAGACTTGTGTCGCGAGCGAGTAGGCCATTTTCCCGGAATGTTCCTAGAGGTAAACTCGTACCTCCAATTTGTCTGCGTTGCGATAGTCAAGCCAAAATTGGTTAAGTACAAAGTTAGATGTGGAATAGTAAGTCTAGACTTATAAGTCGTAGACATCATACCATTAAACAATTTCTCACAACAGGGGTTATCTCTATTGACTACGTGATGTCAAAAGATAACGTAGCGGCCACTAACTCGCTAACCCGAGGGTAAGAAAATGGTTGTTGAGAAGTAGGAACGAGGAATGAGTCTAAAGCCCTTGGACTAAAAGTTCTATAGTGGATACCCAATCTAGCTGGCACCTAGGTTCAATGGGACAACTAAATTATAATATGAGGATTATGCGTTCTACTTTTGGTTGATATATATTTGTATATCTTTTCCGTAGATATATATGTATATATAACCGTGGGGATCTGATTTATATATATTTGTGTGTGTGTGTGCACACACAAGTATATAAAATATTATTCCATATATATTCGATATATATATATATATATATATATATATATATATATATATATATATATATATATATATGAATATATATGGAATAATATTTTATATACTTGTGTGTGTATATATAAATATTATTTTGCGATATTAAATCGGTTTTGGTTCATTATCACCAACAGGATTGGAACTAATTTTTATTAAAATGATGAAAACATATTATTTCATTCAAATTAAACAAATTAATATAATGAAAATAAATAACACAACCGTTATTGTCTAGAAATCCCACGCTGAGCATGAAAATTAATGATCAAAGACCATAGAAAGTATCCCTATCCTGAGGCCATCCCAGGCTGAGCATGGATTTTATTATTTTGCACCTAAAAATCCTTTAAATAATGGTCAACTCATCTAAATTCAAGACCTTTGTTATATGCCATATAAGTTTTGGTCATCCATAAAGTAAAGTTATCTCTTACATTTTGTATTATAAAGAAAAAGCCGTAAAGTTATCTCTTACATTTTGTATTATAAAGAAAAAGCCGTAAAGTTATCTCTTACATTTTGTATTATAAAGAAAAAGCTAGCGAGGTGGTTCGCCGCTAGCTTTTTCTTTTTTGAATGTTACTAACTCTATTATAATGTAATATCTTGAGGCTCGAACTCAGGACCTTCTGAATGAAAATCTAACCCAATTACCATTAAATCACATAGTCTTGGTAACTTTTTCTTTATTTTATTTGACATTACTTTTTTAGTGTTTAGTTTAAAAATGGGAAATGATATTTTTTTTCTTGAGTTATATACTTATATTACTTTTCCCCCTTGAATTATCATGTAAGCACATTAGTCCTTTCAATTATTTTAAAAATGGCGATTTTCTCTCCTAATATATTAAATTGACATTTCTACCTTTAAAGTAAATATTTTATTTATTTTTCTTCTCCAACAAATTATTACATATACGTAGGGATGACCAGGTTCGATTCTAACTGAACCACACACTATAGCAATCAAATTAAAAGTTTCCGGTTATGATTCAGGTCCAGAATCCAATATTTGAATTTCAGTTTATTAAAATTATGAATCGAAAAAATTGGATCCTGAACCGTGAATTGGCGGTTCCGGATTCGGTTCGTAATTTTGAACCGTCTTTATTTTAAAATAGTCTAAGTTCAATAATAAATGTATTTTTTTTTCAATTCGGAACATGAACCGGCTATTCCGGTTCGCGATTTTAATAAACTCTAAATATCGGGTTTCGATTCTAAATTGTAATTGGAATATTTCGGTTTGATTTCTATAGTGTCTTTGGTTTGAACCAAATTGTGATCATAATTTGTTGGAGAAGAAAAATAAATGAAATATTTATTTTAAGGGTAAATATGTCCATTTAACATTCCAATCCCTATCCCCGTTGGGGCAGGGAACCCCGTCGGGAACGGGACATATTGCTATCCATATTAAAAAGTTCAAAAGTAAATTCCATTTTGGGTAGGATTCTTTTATTCGACGACTGTGAATTTACAAACTTTATTCAATTACATATTTATCTTTTTTGTCTTTTTTTTTTCAACTTACTGAAGCACACAGAGTCAGTATTACTCTTTTTTTTTTTTTTAACTTACTAAAGCACAAAGAATCAATATCGCCTCTACCGAAGTTAAAATCCATGGCCTCCCACAAGGTCATTGACTTCAATTACATATTTATCATTTTTTAACTTTATGTCAAAAATTTGTTATAAATATATAAAATTTATTTCCCACGCTTATAAAGGATAACAACATTGTTTGTGGAAGAAATTAAATTTATATGCATGACATGACAAGTGCGATATTACGACAACAACTCAGAAGGCATGCAGGAAAGGGGAACATACATGACAAAAAGTATCCTACTTCGAAAAATAAAATTTTCAACTACTTGGTTTTGATAAATAAGATTTCAAGGAAGAAAGAAGAAAAAAAAAAAAAAAAAGCTCACAGAATTAGTTGGACCCCGAATTTGATTAAATTTGACAATTCGTGTTTCTTGTTCGTTTACGTGTCTATAAGCATAGAGTATTTTATTTTTGTTTTACTTTTTCGCACTTTGGTCAGAATGAGAGGTCAACAGCGGTCCGAAATTGTAAGGTCAATAATGTAAATGTTTATTTTATCTTTTGTTTGAAATGGAGAATTATTTTTTTTCAGTGAGATTTTGACAAAAAATTGGACGGAAGGACAATTTTTGTAACAAAAATAATAGTCGTGGACTGAGATTGTAAGATATAAAAATCGCGGTAGTGACTCTATAGTTGTAGGACCAAAAGTGCAAAAAAAACTCTTCTTTAAAATAGAATGATAACTCGGGAATAGTTTTTGTGATACCTGGAGAGTTGGCAGACCCTTGTTTTGTTCATTGATTTTGTACGTCATGAGGTTTAGAAGTTCTTGTCCGTGCTCTTGCCGAATCTTAGCCAGGTTACCCCTTATGGACTGGATCTCCCTCGCAAAATCATTGATCTTTCCACAAAATGGAATCTTATCCAAACATTTTGAGAAGACATTGTCTACATGCTTCCCCTTCAGTGCAACGTAGTCGGCAATCGTATCCTGGGCTTCATTCACAACGTTTCTGAATTTTTGCACAACAACTCTCAGAACGTGGTGATCACTGGCCCATGAGTTCTTGGAAGCTTCCACAAGCCTGGCGCTAAAGGTTTGGATGTCGGAGGTGAGATCCTTAATCTCAGAATCTATGCCACGAACCAACTTCACATTGTATGCTACAGTTTGGACCAAAGCGTTTACCCCTTGGGTTACCTGATCCTCTAGCACTTTGTCCACCACTATCGTCATTGCTCTCAGCTCTCTCTCTCTCTCACATCGAGTGAAGACATAGGAAATGCAATTATGCAAGTGATATGTGAGGAGTTGCAAATCATCATTTATCTTGATGCTCTAGTACACTCACTGTAGTACTGTACTGTTGGAGACTTGAAGCCTAGATAGCTACCTCTCATTAGTCTTCCATCACATGCATCTTTACTGAATTCTGATTACACATAATAAAAGCTCTTTGAAATGTCTATACACTCCGTACTAATTAAGTCTTTGGTCAGTAGTTATACTTGCACTTATCCATAATTTACCACACAGAAAAGTTGGTCGATTGAATAACGAAATAGTGCTAAAATGATTTAATTGACAAAATTAAAATAATTCAAAGATCAAATTCGTTCAAATTAAAAAGTTTGGACTAAATTGACAATTACAAAATAATTAAGAGACCAAAACAGTAATTTTCTCATTTAGGCTCCGTTTGGAAAGTAAGAAAATGACTTCTGAAAAATATTTTTCGAAAAATTAATCAGAAAACATTTTAATTTTTGATATTTAGCTACAAAATGAAAAATTACCTTTCTGTGTTTGGTTCATTTCCCAGAAAATGGTAAAAATTGTATATTTCAACATTTTAATTATTTGATATTCCAAAAAATGAGTATATACACACAGTGTACACAGTATACAATATATATATATATATATATATATATATATATATATATATATATATATATATATATATATATATATATATATATATATATTACTATTTAAAAATTAGAACATTAATCTTTGGGCATGACGTTTCGTGCAAAGCATGTGCCTGTGACTGTTTACTAACGAAAATTATTTTTTGTTTTCTTTTTTCTTTTTTCTAATTTTTTCGTTTTCATTCTCTATCTTCTGTTTAGAAAACTTGTTTACTAACACTTATTTTTTTTCAAATTTATTTTTTAGATTAACGGAAAAGTGATTATCGACATGTAGAAAAGTTGCCCTATTTTCTTTGGTCGATCAAACTTTTCCACCAAGCAAGCTCGCAAAGTTTTAAACTAGCCACTAAAATGATTTAATATCTCATTTATTCATCGATTATAGTAATTTCTCTTAATTTAGGCTTACTTTGTTTGTGTGTGTGTGTGTTTAATTGTATCATGAACTTTGATAATTTTATTCAAGTGATTCTTGTGTTATGAAATTATGTACCTTACAAGTATAAAATCTATACCTCATTGTGTTGATTCAGTGTCTACAATGCTATATGGACTCTAGTCCATGATATAAATTGCCATTTTATAGCTTTTTGTACGATATTATTTGCTAGTAACTCAAATAATTGATTTGGCGTTGAGTGCTAGTTAAGGCAATTTTAAAAGGGTGTTGCTATTTGCACCACCTTTTGGTCAAAAGTAGGTATAAAATATCTTGAAATTGTAAAAAGGTGAAAACTTTCAATAATTACATAAGTGGTGTAAATAGTCAAATGGGGGTTCATTTTTCTATTTGCACCACCTTGGTCAAACCTCATTTATGAGGTAATTAATAGTTTTTTAATTCAAATTTTAATTAAGAGAAAATGGTACTTTTTCCTCCTAAGTTATATACTTATAGTACTTTTTACTCCTGAATTATTCATGTTAGCATATTAGCCTCCTCAATTATTCTAAAAGTGACGATTTCCCCCCTGATATATTAAATTGACATTTCTACCCTTAAAGTAAACAATTTATTTATTTTTCTTCTCTAACAAATTATTGTGTATACGTAGGGATGGTCCCGGTTCGGTTCTAACTAAATCGGACACTATAGCAATCGAATTAAAAGTTTTCGGTTAAGGGAAAATTGTACACTTTTTCCCTCTGAGTTATATGATTATAGCACTTTTTTCCTCTCAGTTATCTGTTTATCCACATTTGCTCCCTCAATTATATTAAACGTGGCAGGTTTTCTCCATTTTATGTTAGGTGAACATTTTTACCCTTAAAACTAAATATTTCATTTATTTGTTCTTCTCCAACAAATTATTGTTTTTATGTACGGATGATTATGGTTCGGTTCGAACAATTTTTTATTTTATTGCCAATTTAAAATTTATTTATTATAAATTATATTTCTTATTTTTAAAATAATATACAATAATTATTTTATTTTATTTCATTTCATTTTTTTCGGATCTGAATTAAGTATAAGAAAATAAAGTTGTGTTATGCCTTCACAATTAGTTATATTTGTTCTATATTTTCTTAAACATTTTTAACCCTAAGAATCTAAGCTCCACTCCCAAGGTTCGGGCCTATGACCATTTATTTGAAATGGTAATTGAAATGTCATCACATTACATGATAGTTGGCTTAATCATATTATATATAATAATCATATAAAAACCAATTGTGTTAAATCAAAGTAATTGTAGATTACTAGTATATATATATCCTCTAATGAAGGTATGCATGTAACATTTCCATTATGTCACCATTAAGTGGTGCAAGTTAATAGGCCATTTATGGCCATAATGTTGTGGTTTGAAACGGAAGTAACGGTTTCCGTTACTTAACCTATAATGATGGCACGTAGGTTATATATATGTGTATGGTCCTCCCACTGCTCCTATGACTTGACACTACACCATCTAGTTGTACAGGAGACCAAGTGGTAGACAAAATCTGAAAGTTCTTTACTGTTCTTCAAACAATGCAACGAGATTCCAATTATGGTTGGAGATGCTTGATCATATGCTTCCGCTATAAGGTTAGATTACATGTATTACTTTGTGTATTTCTAACATTTGGTATCAGAGCCTGTTTAATCTCTACCTAGTTTGTCAAAATTGCATAAAATACATTTTATATAAAATATATATGCTATACGGATATTGTTGATGGAATTGTTGCATTTTTCAAGTATATATATACATTTGTATATCTGAGTTAGCAATTCCAAGTCACTGTGTATATACTCATAAACAATTTATATATTATGAAAAGTGTTTATTGCCTAAAATGTATGTAACTGCATATATAATTTTTGTTTTCAAAAATTGTTCATATGCAAATGAATTTATACTTGCCGGGATTTGGTTGACGGAATTTCTTTTTTTGCATGGTCGGGGTTGCCGCCATTGCTGTCGGTGGAGCACCATTCCCGCTGCCGCCCATTCCAATGGGTGGATAATTAAAGATGATGTGGAAGTGGTGATGCCTTAAGCCGTTGGGCGTTGGCATGCGGTGTAGAAGGGCACATCGATAACAATGGCGTCAGGTAGTGCCGTGGGGCGCTGCGTTATGGTGACTGACGTATGAGTTTCCTCAAACCTTTATGTGGTTGGCAATGACGATGGGGTGATGAGGGTTGTCATTAGCGCTGTTGGGCGTTGTGACCATCACCGGCCTGCTTTTGGCTACATGCTGCCAGTAACTTCAGTAATGAGGCCAGGCAAAGTCAGCAGATTGCGGCGTCTTCCTTTAGAAGGTGAAGCGAGGGTCGACATTTGATGTTTACATACACTATAGTCTAGATCAAGAGACGTAAGCGAACGTTTGCGGTTGGCTATGGAGAAACATTAATTTGGAAATCAGCATAGGGCTGTCGTGTAAGTTAGGAATTATAATAATTCCTTGTTAAGGTGAACCTTGTTTGTGGAATAATAAACGGTAGTGCATTATGTTTAAGCATCTTTAGACGGTTTAGAATGTTCACTTGATATTAGAAGTCTTTCCATAGGTGAACTATTAAAGATTTGGAAAGATTGCTCGTCAATTATGCCTTTATTGTGAGAAAACATGAATCGGGGAAAAGTTTCTCGAAAAATGGCCAATGTGCTACTATTCCCTTGAAACATTACTCTGTCTAAGGAGTTGGTTATTTTTAATGAGGCTCCATCTCAACCAATTTTCCTGGGAGTATACTTGGGATTGTTTATCACATTGTTGCATAATTGTTTTTAGGCTTAAAGTTGATGCCTGAAATCTCAAGATTATCGTATAGTGATCATATAATTTTGATTAATTAAGGGGAAGCCACATCATCTTTAATTAATTAAAATTTCTGAGATCACATATAGTCATAGACATATTGATTGTGATTACTTATATAATATAATAAAATTTAGCCCACAGGCAATTTTGTTATGTTTATATAATTAATTAGGGTAAAATCACCAAACTATGATCATAATTTAGCCCACAGGCAATTATGCATCGGAATATAGTTTTGGTGAGTTTTATCATTATAGATAGGAAGGTCAATTTATTTAACAAATGATTTTAATATAAATAAATTGGTGTCTTCTATCATAAAGTTATGAGATATGTACATATTCAAAAGTATTTTTATGTGTACATTTTGTGGTATTAGTCTAGTTTCTTTTATGTGTATTTATTATGCATGAAAGAAATTTGGATTAATAGCTTGGTACATTAATATTTTTTTTGTGTACAAATATCAAGTGATCAATACAATTTCATAACTGAAATTATTAAGTTATTTTGATCACTTTGTGACTAATTACATAAAGTATAATAAAATCTACCCACAGGAATTTTATTATATTAATGTAAATAGTCAAGATAAAATATTAAATCATATTTCTTAATTTATCCACATGGATTAAGAAAAGGAACATGGTTTGATAGTTTTATCATAAAGTTGTAGATGAATCTAATTGAATAAAACTTCAGCCCACAGGCAAATTTTATGTCACTAGATTCTTCTATCCCCTTTGATAATAATTTTATCATAAAGTTTTAGTTGAGTCTAATCGAACAAAACTTTAGCCCACAGGCAAGTTTTGTGTCACTAGATTCTTCTATTTGATTATCATGAAGTCTCAGTTGAGTCTAATTGAATAAATCTTTAGCCTACAGGCAAGTTTTATGTCACTGGATTCTTCTGTTTAAATTTATGATCAAGATAAAATTTTATCATACCAATTTTAGAATTTATAACTTTAAGGCTAGTTATAATTCTATGTCACATGGGTTGCATTGGCAATACATGTATTTTGTTAAATTCCAAAACTTTAGTAACTTGAAATTGTTACTGTATGTGGCTTACTTGATTTTTCAGCCCAACCACAATAAAGCTTTTGAAT